AACCTAGAAGCAACAAATGAACAAGACAAACAAACAGAGACTCATGGACATGGACTATAGGCTAGTGGTTACCAGAGGGTAGGGGGTTGGGGAGGAGTGGGGAGGTAGATAGGATAAAGGGGGTCAAATATAGAGGAGGGGAGGGTGAAGTGGGTAAAGGAGATCAAATATACGGTAGCTGAAGGAAATTAGATTTTGTGTAGTAAATACACGATAGAATATACAGATGTCAAATTATAATGTACACCTGAAAATTATACAATTGTATTAACAAATGTTACCCCAATAAACTTAATGTAAAAAAAAAGAATTAAGATTTAAAATGGCCATGAGAGTCTTGAGTTTTAGTTATGCTCTGAAACACCATTTATTTATTTTAAAAATACTTGGGAATAAATAGCTGAACCTTTCTCATTGGGTTGCCATGAGAATTAAATGAGATCATGTATGGAAAAGGCTTAGCATAAGATCTGGAACAAAGTAATACATGAAATCTAAAGAAAAGTTCAGCTTTCCTGGCCCTTCAAATTGGTCCATGTGGTTATTAACTCAAATTTGAAGCAGGCCAGAATCTATTCTGCTCTAATGAGTTGATTTCTTTGTGGTCTCTCCTGGAGGAGGCTCAAAGTTCCCTTCCATACAAAATTTACTCCCTACAACTTAGTTCAGATCTCCCAGAGTGCCACTTAGCAGAGCCACATCATTTATGGCTCTTGGGGTTAGGAGACAATTTCAATATGTTAGGTGAGAGTTCATAAGACCTTTAACCTGGGTTAGAACTGAGTGGCAGATGTATTTAGTGCTCACTTGGCAATCCACGTGCCCGCCTTGAATCCCCAGCCACCTCTGAAGTTAGGTTGATGCTATATGGCTAATGTAGGAAAAGAAATGACAGTGTCATTTCCAAGTGAGGCAGTGAAAAGCTAGAGTGTCTCCTTCTCCCTCCCCCTTTCACAGTGACATCCAAGGTTATATGCTCCAAATGGTGAACTACAAGATGGTGGTGAGTGGGGAAAAAAAATGAATCCTGGATCCTTCAATGAACCTTCAGAACAAGCGTCCACTCCACCCAATCCAATACACAGTCAACTAGTAACACAAGAGAGAAATAAACAGCTGCTACAATAAGCCACTGAGATTTGGAGATTAATTTATTACACACTATGTCTAGGAAATTAAATCAGTTTGATAGAACTTGTGAAGATAAAATTAAAGGGACTTCATCTTCCATTAATGGCAAACTAGGTAATTCAAACCAACCTTTATACTGGAAGATATGTATTTTTTAAATGTCTACTCAAAAGTATTGGAAAGCCAGCATGGCAGTGAAAAATTATCTGGCTACAATCTGGCTATCCAGGAGAAGATGAAAATCCAGAGAAGTGAGTCTCACATTTGAAACTACTCTTCTCCTGGAAGCATTTGGAAATTATAAGAAAGCCAATGTTTGCTAGCTGGGCAGTTTGATGGCCTGGTATGGATATAAAAATTGGATGCCAATAAAAACACAGTAGTGTGGGTTGGGACTATGAAGTTCTGTAGTCTAGCAATAAGAGTGAGTTGAAAAGTAAAAGAGCCTTCACACTGCCTCAGCTCAGCTTCAAAACATCTAAGTGGCCAAAAACATCTCAGGCTTTGCATTTGGATGCAAGAGATCCCAGAATGCTAATGCCTTCAGGCTCCTGGAAGAAGCAAACAAAAATCCTTTCTAGAGAGAAAAAAACAAAAACATTATTTTAATTCTAAAATCATTTCTGCAAACAATTTTCCAAATACGATTTCAGATTCAAAGAAAACCAGGCACAGACCAAAATAAGACAACGAACAAGGATCAACCAAACCCACAGAAAACAGAGACAGAATTCCATGGTCTCCAGATAGTGGCACCGATCAGACTTTAAAATAATTAGTTTACTATGTTCTAGGAAGAAAATACAGGATTGAAAATGTCAGCAGAGAACTAGAAATATTTTTTAAAATACATAGCAAACTTGAAAAAGAATCAATAAAAGTCCTAAAACTGAAAAGACAATAACTAAAATTAAGAACACGGATGGATTTTTACCAGATTATATCTTGCTGAAGAGAGAAATAAAGAATTTAAAAATAAGTCAGAAGAAGATATTCAAAATGACACAGAAAGAGGCAAAGGGCTGGAAAGAGATAGTTAGAGTCCTACACACAGTCCAGCATCCATTTAACTGGACTCCTGGAAAGAACATAGAGAGAGGATGGAGCAAAAGCAATATCGTGAGAGGCAACAGCTAAAAAATTTCCAAAACCGATGTAAGACTTTGAGCCACAGATTGAAAATAAAGTTAAATGGACTTGGCAGGGAAGAGAGAAAGAGCTACTTTTTTAAAAGTCAAAGATGACTTCAAGAACTCTAGCTCCAGCAAAAGGGAGATGTGACTGAGATAAAAAACGGGGAAGGAAGAACAGGTTTGTTGAGGTCGGGAGGAGACAGTGTGGAATAGAAATAGCAGTTTTCAATTTTTACCTGTCGAATTTAACATCCAGGCAGGAATAACAAATGTGCCATTATTTCTTGAATAATTATTCTTTTTCTTGTCATGTTCAGGAGTCTCCAAAACTTTCATTCTTTTAAAAGAACCAGTCAAGCCTTTCTTGTCTCAAGAATCCAGCACCCTCAGGCCTCCTTCACTTTACTAGAATCCATGGTTTGCCTCCAAGGGTTGATCTACGAATGGATATTTGCAGCAAAATGTACAATGACTTGCAAACTACATATGCCTGGTGTTCAACTGTAATTATCTGTTCAATGCAACCTTCACAATACCCATCAAAACAAAATAATGTGCTTTTTAGATTTTAACACTATGATCTAGGACTCCGTTTTTTGTTGTTTTTTGTTTTTTTTTTAATACTCTAAGGGCAAGTTACAGGTACTCCAAATGTTTTGATTTATCAAAATGTGGAATTTCTGCATATGACACTGACTTTAAATGTTGGAGTAAATAAAACTCAATGTCACAATCTAGAATATTACCTTAGGGATTATCATGAGAGTATTTTTTAATAGTTATTTGACTTTATTAACAGAAGGAAAAATAAAACACTGGCTACGATAAATTTCTCATTTTTTTACTTAGTAAACATCACGACTTTCACAATAAATTCTGTGGCTAATAGAAGAAAATAACATAGCATGCTATCTTTTCAACTGAAAAGGTCCCAAAAAGTTAAAAGATGATAATGATGATGGGAACTAATGTTTACTGAGCACTTTCTACATGCCAGAAACTGTTCTAAGGGACTTAAATGAATTCACTCATTAAAGAGATTTAAAGATATATAATAACATAAACTATACACCAATGACATAAAAAATATTATTTAATGGAGAATCAGGCAATTCTTTTTTTCCCTCAAAATTGTTCTTTTTATAAGATACACTACAACTCTGCTGGTACAATTAGGGACCAGAAGTGTGTGTGTGTATATATATCTATTTATAAATATATATATGAGAGAAATTAGAAAAAAACACTTTACAATAATAAAGTACAAGTAAATCTATAATTTTTTCTCACAATATTACATTATTCTCCTGAAAGTAGAAATAAAATTTTCAAAAACAATAAACAGGAAAATAATTTTATTTTCAAACAACCCCTTACATGCCAACATTAAACTTTTAATTATTAAATTCTAAAATATATATTAAGTGTATCCATGTTATTGCCTTATGCAATCAAATTTTTAACAGTATGAGTCTAGTTGTCCTGGATATTTCGCTCTAGAATTTCTCTGTAGAACTACTGCTATATTATTGTGATTTCCCTATATATCATTTCCAAATACAGTCATCAGGAATACTTCAACCATAATTTTGTATAACTTAATCAAGCTTCCTAATATCACCAGCTAAAACGGCTAAAGACATTTTTTTTTTTTAAACAGAAGAGTCAGGAGAATTTTGCCTAATAAAATGCGTGAACCAACTTCTTAAATTACCAAATGTCTTCAAGATTTTTAAGTAATGTGGAACATTATTTAACAACATTCTTGATATTCTGAAGGACTGAAATTTAATAGCCAAACCCTACTTCTCAGCCATTCTGACCATCAGATTCCTGAAAATTTGCTATCCTACTTAGCTTTTTCTTTTTTTGACCTCTGAATGTCTCATGCAGTCTGTGACCCTTATGATTTAAAAACTATGAATTCACAGAATCATTTGACTCTTCAGATCATATAGGAACCTAATGGTCTTTGAATCCAGCCCCTCATACCATGTTTGAATGCTCTCTGCCACATTAACCCAAATGTTTCCCATTCTCCATGCCTGCCAAAATAGGGAATTATTTAAAGATAACCCACTCTGTTTTCAGTTTTCACTATTAAAACTGTCTTCCCTATCCTGAGGTGACACTTTCTTCACCAAAACTATCCCCTAATTTGGATCTCACCAATCTCCTCACTGGCCCCAAGAGAATGACTTCAGGTGAATCCATCTCTTCTTGCTTTACTTTTCTTAGTTGTAAAATGGAGATAAGAAATGTATGTCATATGGGTGTGGAGATTAAATGAAAATGTTTATAAAGCGCCTGGTGCAACACAGGGCCTCCGCAAGCAGTAGCCTTATTAGGAGTAGAAAACCCTCCTCTGCATGGCTATTCTCAGAGATGGTATGGCAGCTGTCATCTTCTCTCCTCCAGGACAGATAGCCCCATGTTCTCCCATTTTCTTTGAAAAACATGGTATTGTCTCTCTTATTTCTCTAGTCATTCCTTTCTGAATAAGTATAGTTCTTTGAGAGAAGAATCAACTGCTAATCAAAAAATGTATACATTATATATATATGTATATGTATATATACATATATATATACATATACATATATATATAATGTCCACTTAAGATAAGTCTCATACCCAGACGTATCATTGCAAGACAATATTTCTCTCTTCTCTATTGCTGATGAAATCTCCTCTCCCCCTCCCCCACCTCCAGTGTCTCCATATTTGACCCTCTGGCAAGCTGGGCTATGGGGAAGGCAATAGGTATGGGTACTTTCTGGTTCTAAGGTGACAAGAAGACAGAAGTGCCCCTAAGACGTTAGGATGTATCTGAGAAGTTTCCTTCTTCATTCTGGTAGGATGTCAGCTCTTCCTCATCGAGGGTCACTCCTCTCTGTCCTCTCCATTCCTTCTTCCGGACTTCACAATTCTGGGTAGTGGCTCCATATGACATCTTCTTTTTGGGACTTGCAAAATTCTCATGGTTGAGTTCTGTTTCCTCGGCTAATTCATCTTGGTCAATGATGCCACACTTCTCCTCAGAGAGATTCTCGGGGTCAGCCCACTCCTGTTTCTCCCCGGAAGCAAAGACCCCATAGAAGATGACACCACTGTAGTGGACCAGGGCAGCTATGAGGAACACATTCTGCCATTCCTCACGGGTCTAAATGAGGAAACACAGTACCAGTTAATATTTTAACCAAAACCAGAGATCAACAGCATGTTCTGGCACAAAAAAAGCACCTGGTTCACCCCAAAGGCAGCACTCTGCTTCTTGGGGACACGTGTCAGAAGCGTGCTGGGGATCCAAACAGAATTTGAGTGTTTAAAAATGAAAGTTAAGACTATAATGAATTTGCATTTTTTAATTTAGAGAAATGCTTTACAAAATAAACATCATGTAAAACACACGTAGCACCATTTCATAGTTCTTCTAAATACACTAATGGGGTTTCCACTCACCTATTGGGTTAAATTAAACTTGCTTTAGGAACTCATCATTTTAAATATCAGAGGTCTCCTTCTTGCTTGCTGTTGGATACATAACAATTTGAGCCATGAAAATGCTCAGTCTTGACTGTCAGTAGCTTATTTACAATCACGTTTTCTGTGTAAAATACAGTATCACAAAATAATGGCACTTGTGTTTAAGGTTAAGGGAAGATAGTATCTGAGATTTAATACTCATGTTACTGATCCTATCATCTCATGAACAGAGAGGAGAAAACATTGATCTTCTGCCTATAAAAAAAATCCCAAATCCCAACTTTCTTTTCTATCAAAAAACATGAAAAGTTGCCTCATACTTTCTTCTCCAGGAAGTCATATTTGTAATAGGCAATCCAACTAAAAAAAACAATAGTTGGGTAAAAACGCCAAAATATCAAAAAATTCGTATTTGCAGAAAGCAGCATCCTGAAACTTTATCAATGACAGAGGTGAAGAAACCAGAGATCAAGTGTCCTGTGGTTTAACGCTGGATGGAGCTGGGATCCTCTTCTTCCATCCACCTTGGTCTAAATGCACAAAGGTTCAATAACAACTAAGTGCCACACCCTGGTAGGTTCTTACGAAGGGTCATTAATGACTCGTTTATTTCTTCATAATACAGAAGTGTAACAGCGCTAACATTTTTATGCTGGAACATGCTAAGCAATAGATTGAATGGGTTATAAAGCTTAATTACTTAGAATTATAAAATGATCTTGAATACTTTTTAATTTCTCCTGAGTTGATTGCCTCAGTTTCTTACTGTGTCTCAAAATGGTCTATACAGTGTTTGCCCCCACTACACACACATTTTATTTCTTTGTTGAGGAAATATGGAACCAAAATTAATCAGCCCTGTTGCTATCAATAAATGATAATTAAAAAAAAAAAGAAGAAGAAAAAGAAAGAAAAGAGAAATAGAAGAAGCTCAAATGACTTAGCCAAGGTCAAGGACATACCTATTTACAGGCTGGGGTAGGGCCTTGAGATTTCAAGTTTATAGAGTATTTCAGTCCTTTGATACTGTAACCCACAGCCCCAGAGGAGACCATTACCTTGTGCTTGGTCATTGCACCGACAATGAGGGGACAGACCATTCCAGACAGGGTTCCTACTCCATTTGAGATGCCCATGAGAATGCTGGCATAGCGGGGGGCAATATCCAGGTGATTGACATTAAAACCTACAGTGAAGCCAAAACCTCAAAATCAGAGTCAAGAATAGAATTCCAAATACAGTTTGGAAAATACTTAGCTTCCCCCCAATGCTCATCAATCTATGTACTTTCTTCTAGCACATGACTAATGGATACCTCTACCGAGAGGACCGGGTTGAGGATTGCCAGGCTATGCCTGCACAGAGCAGAAAAATGTGCTGTGATTGATTAGCAGTGTCTACTCTGGACTTTCTGTGGGGTTCTGAACTTCAAAATGATAGTATTTGGGGCAATACTGAAAAGCTAAAAGTCTGGATCACATTTATTCAGAGTAAATAATCACACAATCACATTCAGTGTGATGAGGACCAAACCCTGCCTCATTATATCCTCCCTCCCAGGCCTCGACTTACTCCTAAAAGGCTACCACAGGTAAGTGTGCCTTAGTGGCCACGTGGCATAGGGGAAAGGGTACTTTTTTGATAATAAACATTTGCACTAACATTGGCAGAATCCTCTGTAATTTACAAAATACTTTCACGCACATACTCGATTTGGAGTTTGTAAATCTGGGTTTGAATCTTATTTCCACCACTTAAGTCATTTTTAAGCCTTTGTTTCCTCATCTCTAATATGGGGATAATATTACCCAAGCCATAAAGATGCTATGAGAACCAGGGTAAGTATATAGGCAAGAGCTCTTGGCAAATAGCTAGGCTCTACTAACTACCTACTACCACTAGCTACCACGATTACCAGTCCTACCTACTCCTGCTGCCTCTGCTGCTGCTCTAAGCAAGCATCTTCTCTCTCAGAAGTCTTTTATTGGAAGATAATGCTGCTTGGAATGGTAAAATAATAAGTCAGCAACACCTCACTATTCACCTGTTTATCGGGGAAAAAAGAATGAGTGGAATGAAGGGAGAAGCACTGAGAACCACCTGTTCAAGTCAATATTGCCCAGGGGTGATTTTAGAGTCAGACAAACCTGCCTCTGGCAGCTTAACTGAGATGCAAATCTGGACAAAGGATTTAAACTTTCTGAATCTCCTGTTCTTCATCTATAAACTAGAATAATCATTCTTATAAAATTGTTGTAGGAATTAAGTTAAATGATGTATGTCCATTACATGATATACAGGGGTGAAAACCAACATGTATGTTCTTTTCTAGGTTATTCATCTGTCTTATTGACCACTATCTCCCCTGAACTGTCAGTGTCTGGTACATAGTAGGCACATAATAAATAATTGATTGGTTAATTAGCAATTTGAGCTACGAAATTACAGCAGGGGGTTTTAACTTTTATTTATTCATATTTTTGTTTTCCTTTGTCTTGCTCTTTAATTCTCCATTCTGTGCAAAGAACCTGAAAATAGGATTTAAAAAAAATTTTTTTTTTCCAATTTGGCACATTGGCTGGTTGTTTTTTCCTACTTCCATTCAGGGAGAATTTTTTTAAAAAACCTTTATAATAAACATGCTGTCAAAGTGGCAGACAATCAGAATATAAAAAACAGCTGCAAAATTAATTAATCTTATTGTTGATTCAAATGCAATAAACACTTTATTAGAAAAGAAGCCAGAGATAAGAAGTGATTAATATGATTGTTGAGTACTATATTCTGATACAAAGCTCAGGCATCTGTGTTTAGCTAAAGATAATGTAAGAAAAGCCACTTAGGTTTCTAGCTGCACAATTCTAGTGTTCAGGGGGAAAAATCTATGAGAAACTGAGATATTGATGGATTTTTTTTGCAGCAGCAGCAGCAGCAGCAGCAGATACAAAAAAAGCAAAGAATTGCACAACAGCTGGGAGAGTCTGTCTTCTCTTCATAGGACATTTCTCAAAACAGGCATCACCTAACTGTTGTATCTTTCTAATTTCACCATTGTCAGCTCTCTTGTCTATGATCAGTTCCTAAATTGTGATCATCTTCTCTGGCATCCCTACTAACTCTTTATAAAGTGGGCAGATAGTAGATCCGAGGAATTATTGTCCCCACAGCGATAGTCCCTCCCATAGTATCACTGTTGGGTCAGACAAACTTGTATTCCAGTCCCAACCACTTAACTTACTAGGGCAAGTTAAGTCACCTTTCTAAGCCTCAGGGTCCTCACTGGTAAAATAGACATAGCAATACCCTTCCCACAGTTTACCACAGGGATTAAATTAGATCATGTCTGAAAAATAGTTAGCTTGGAGTAAGTGCTAATAAAAATTATGGCAGCTGTTGTGATTTGGGGTATTGGGTTTCTCTCCTTCTGATTGTGTCTTAATTGGCAATCTCGGGGAAATATGAACCTGAATATTTCAGTATCTTTGGGGACAAGATATGAATCTCTTTTGCCTAACAGAGCTATCAAGAAAAAGTAATCCTCAGCACCCTACTAGAAATAAGTTGCGATTGTTCTCTCTTCGCTACTCAAAGTGTGGACCACTGGACAGCCGCAGCAGCATCGCTGGGGAGCTTGTTAGAAATACAGAAAGTCAGGCCCCACTCTGGACCTGCTGAATCTGAATCTGTATTTTGCAGAATCCTAAGATGATTTGTATGTACCTTGAAGTATGAGAAGCACTGGGCCAGAGTGAATAGTAATTGAACAATAGTAGTGAATACTTATTAATTTTGTTATGCATCAGGCACTGGGCTAAGAGCTTCCAATGCTCTATTTCCACTAGAATGTAAACTTTATGAGGACAGAATCTTTGACTTTTTTCATTGCCTTATCCCCCACGCCAAGAACAGTGCCTGGCTCATGAGAAGTGTGAGTGAATACATGAATTATGTTAATTCATCGAGATCTCCCAACAGTGCTACAAGGTTGCCTTTACATCTCTCTAGCCTCTAGCAGAAGATATTGAAGCTTGAGGATTTAAATAACATAGCAATTTTTTTGTATAAATAGTAGGTAGTAAAGAGAGATCTCAAACCCAGGTCTATGTACCTCCAAACCCAAGTCCTTAGCTGCAAGCTACTTTTACGGTTTACATTTTCCCCTCATTTTTTCCTATTCATCAGCTCTACTGATAAGATCAAGCCTCTATTTTAGTGTAGCTTAAACCAGAGATTTCTATTCTGAGATGGTACCACTCTGTTTGATCTTTTACGCGGCCTGGAATGGTGGAGAGAGCTCAGGCTTAGAGCCAGGCAGAATGGCCCTTTAGTTCTTCCTCTGCCACCAATTGTGTGACCATAGGAAAGTATCCAATTTTTCTAAGTTTTAAGTACCTCATCAGTAAAATAGTGATATTACTACTTCACAATGTCGTAAGATGGATGTAACATATGTAAAGTGTTCTTTAAGTGATAATTTTAGTATTACAGTATGTTTTGAAAGTAGAAAAACAACTGGGTTTCACTTTTTCACCCAGTTTTACAAGGGAGCTTTTGAAGACTATAAGACATGATAGCACTCTGGCCTCTCACACATAGTAGGCTTCTTTCTGCTCCTCTAATATGGAGATACTGATAGCACCTAGAGGAGCCGTGAGTATTACAGGGGTTAATACAGCCACAGGACATAGAGTCTGTGTTTGATCAACATTAGCTCTCGCCATCACCATTATTACTCTTACTACCTGTTCTAGCCTGCTCAGAAAGTCACTTCCCCTCTCTGGACCTGCATTTCCTTGTTTGGAAAATGAAGGCCATGGAAGAGACAAAGTCTAAAGAAGCTTTCCACTCTCGAAAGCTTCTGATCCCATGACTATATGTCAAAGGACCTGATATTAGCAGTTCTCTTGTAGGAAGTGAAGATTGAAAAGGTCACAAAAGACTCTGTTAGGTAGGGTGATCTGGTGCCGCAGTGTGAAAGTGCCACTCCACCCCAGACACACGCTTGGGCCTCTGCCTGTGCCTCAGAGGGCTCACCCACACTTAATGTCTATTTCCAAGGTGGAGAAATTAGGGGCAATTCCAGCTTGACTGGGTTGAGGAACCCAGGGACCTTACAAAGCCATACCTCCTAGATGACATTCTCTAGTCAGTGACACTGCTCCTTGGGAATGGCCTGGATACTAAAGGAAGGTGATGCAATATCCTTTTCCTTCCTGCCTCGTAAGACTTGCTGGATCTATAGAAAAGATTTGGAAACCCAAAGGACATTTTACCTGAAATAGCAAAGCCACTAAATCCTACGGCAAGTACCAGAAAGGAGATAGCCACCCCCTTGGTATGGGAAAAGCCAACCACCAGGAGTAAGGTTGCTTCCATGCCAAAACCTGCAAATGAAACAGCAGGGGGGGGAAATGTCATTTTCATGTCAGTCATCCCAAGGTCATGAATTTTTCAAATAAGAATTGATTAAAATATTTCCATGGACCTAAGTTTTTTTAGTATACACATTCTGGAACGGTGCTTATAAAATTATCCAGGTGTTTCTTGACTACATGACTATGCTACTGTTACCTAGGTGTTCTGTGAGTCTTCTGACACTCCCCTGGTGTACCTTGAACACAGAATGGTCCCAGTAGGTTCCAGCGATGCCCCTGGGGTGAGGGATGGTTACTATCAGTTGCTTCATGGGTGTTTGCTCTGTCATTTCTAAATATTAAAACTCTCCTATATACTGTCAGTCAGTCTTCTCAGTTTACATAAGTTACGGCTTCTCACAGAAAAATAAAATGACGACACTCTTAATATTTATCGTGAAAAGTGACCTGAAAGCAATAAATGAATATCTGAAGCAAAAAGCAGCTCCTTACTGCTTGTAAAACATAAAGCAAAATTCTTCCTTTTCAGAAATTCACCAAGCTCTCAGGCCTTTTTATAAAAGCCATGAGATATTTACACAGAAAATACAGCAGGACAAATGTCCTTTCTGTTCCTTTCGTTCAGAATAAGCGACTCCAATACAACAAAAAACGACGAGGAAATTAGAAAGATGTTCCTTCTCACAAAAGCAAAACAAAACAAAATACAAACACGCATTCAGCCAACAGCAGACAGAACGATGATATAAGTACCAATTCCAGGTATAAAAGTGCCATGGGAAATGGAAGACAACGATGCTTCATTCTGGAGACTGCTGATTCCAGACATCTCCACACGACTGTCCCATAGTTACCTCAAAGACGACATGCCCAAATCAAGTCTCTGTCCCCCTATTTTTTACTCCTAAACAAACAAAGCAAATCACCACCACCATCCTCTTTCTTCTTCTGCAAATTAATCTTTTATTCTCCTGTGTTTAGAAACTCGACTTTCGAGTCAGACAGACTTAGGTTCAGATTTCTACCTCAACATCACTAATTGTGTGACCTTGGACGAGTCACTTCACCTCTTAGATTCCTCATCCTCAAAAATGAAGCCAGTAATACAACCTTATAGGGCACCAGAAGATTAAATGAAATTAGGCGTCCCTAGCACAGGAGCACAGCTCAACAAATGATAACAAAAATCCAACACGGATATCTCAAAACCTCTCTCTTTCTCAGCTTATGCGTCAGAATCTGTGTTTCAACCTCAGAAATATCTGTCAAAACTGACCTTGCTCTCCCCTCCTCTGCACCTGTCTTAGTCCTGTGCTCCATTACCTCTCACCTAGACAACTTCAGTAGACTCTTTATTGGTTTTCCCATCTCTTCTTCTTCTGCTCCATTTTCCCATATCACTATCTTTATAAACCACAAATCTGATCAATTGCCCCTTTGCTTAAAACTTTGTCAAGGGTTCCACATTATTAGTATAGTGTTGTATAATAAATCCCTCCTGCTGTTCCTGTATCATTTTCTGTCATCCTTCAACTCCTTTGCCTCTGCATGTGTCCCATATAAAGCCTTCTGCTGTAGTCACACAGCAGGGTGATTAGCTATTTCCTAAACACAACACTGTTTCATGCCTATATGTATTTTCGCGGACTGTTTCTTCACCTAGGATTCTCTCACCAGTTATTTCTCCTTTCTGGAGAAATTGTATCCTTGACAATCAAGTTCAAATATGACTTCCTCTAGGAAGCTTTCCTGGCAGCCCTGCCCCTCAGCCACCAGTGGAGCGGACACCTCCTTCTTCTTACTAATCTCATAGAACTTTTCAACATTCCTTATAATTTTTCATTTGTGTTTCTGCCTCCCTCATAAAACTGTGATATTTTCCAGGGAAGTTACCGTGTACATAGCACAGAGCCTGGCTAACATGCAGTGATCACTCAAATAATAAACTAATGCAAAGGAAAGAAAGGAAAATCAAGATAACTAAGTTGAAATACAAGCTAGAATATTTTTTATAAATCTTGGTAAGATGCCTACTTTTCTGAGCTTATTTCTTCGAAACTAATGAAGACACAGGGCAAGCATCAATAATTGTTTTAGGTGGTCATCTAAAGAGAGTGATAAAATTATGGACCAGAAGTATTTTTTAAATTGTGGGTTTTATATCATTGCTACTTATTATTAATTCTGTTTCAACAATTTAAATTATACATGGGGCTAAATTGCTAATGTTTTACATACTAACTATGTGTATTTTAGAAGTGGCCTGTCTTAAATAACAAGGCACACAGCTGATACTTCTTTTCTCTTATCATTTTCAACAAAGTTAATTCCTCCAAAGAATTAGAATGAAGACATTGTGTGAAGAATAATAAATACATTGGTTCATTTATGAGAAAAAGATCTTTGCCAAACAGATTTCCAAAGAAGGAAAAAGCATTTAAGAGCCTAAATGATTCCTGTCTAGAGTGAAAATGCTAGAAATAGGACTGTGTGTTTCAGGAGCTAAAGATTAAATTTGAACTTCAGCAGTAATCAAGAGATCTTTGAAAGTAAACCTATTCAGAACCAACAAGAAAAATAAAACTAGGATTTAAAGGCCAGAGAAATTTTTCCATTTCATATTAAAACAACCTGAAGTCACACAGACAACCAATTAAGCCAGGCTAGAATTTTTGACCTTAGTCACACTTTACATGTACTACAGAGGGAGGAACAATAATTGGACAACTGTCCTTGAGGATCTTGGAAATGTGCCCTGATTCAGAATGAACCAGAATAGGTGATCTGTTTGCTTTAAATGATTTTAACTGCAAATATCCCTTGCCTACAGAAGGAAAAGGAGGTGACAGACTCTAAGAAATGTGTGATCTTTCTCAGATGATAAATATCCTCTATATTTCTTCTTAGAAAATATGAAACCAACTAAAATTCTCTAGACTATCATAGATCATACGAGTGTTTCATCATATCCAAATCAATCTGGCTTATCAGCAATGGCACAAAACTCTGTCTTCATGTATTTATCTCTAGTCTAGCATCTCTGCATTTAAGCAAAGTGAAATGACCATGGTCTTTTTTTTTTTTAATTTTCTAGGTAAAGCTCACATAAAATGACATGAAAAGACATGTGAAGAGTTTTCTTGGTTTTTTTGATTGTTTGTGTGTATGTGTGTGTGTGTGTTCTAAGATGAGATTGAGACTGAGGAGAATCTATATATGCATTCTAGTTTCTGTAAAAAAAAAAAAAAAAAGGTTACTGTCAACAGGCACTTAGCTAGCATTTAAAAATGTTTGAACGTTCTCACCACCACCACCAAACACCGAAATTACCAATTATGGAGAAACAATGGCTACAGTGATTGGGGCAAAATTAAATATAAACAAGACATTCTTATAAAACTATGTTTAGTGTCTTCAAGTCACCTGTCTTCAGAAATAAACTATGCGCGTAAAGTTTAAAAGCAGAATTTTCTTTCAAGTTCCAGATTTAGAGGTTGCATATTTGGGGCCATGGGAAATATGATTGAATAGCAGATATTTATTGAATGCCTCCTTTGGAAAACTTCTGTTTTGTCGATGTTTGAACACAGGAGAAGAAAAAGAGCACTCACACGTGTCGGCCTCATGCTAGGTGCATGTATATGCTGTCTCATTTAACCTTTATAACAATCATCTGAAGTAAATGTTATTAAAAAAATTAGATTTAAAATAAGAAGAAAGCTAAGATCCAAGAACTTACAAATCCATCTGCTTCCCTCCACCTCCATTGATACCACTTTAGTTCAAGTCACCATCTTCTCTTGACAGAAAAACTGAAACAGCCTCTTAGCTTGTCTCTCTGCTTTTACTCTTGTGTTCTGTGTTCAATTATTCAGATTTAAAAACATAAGTCAGACCATATCCGTTTCCCTGCTTTAACCCCTCCATTTGCTTCCCAGTGCACTTCAAATAAAACCCAGGCTCTGCATATGTCCACAAGGCTTCCCAAGATGCAGCCCCAGCTGTACGTTCTGATCCCACCTCTTGTTACATTCTATCTCGCTCACTAAGCTCCAACCATTCTGACTTTCCTTCCTTGTTCTCTAACATGCCACATTCATGCCTGCCTCAGGGCCATCGCATGTGCTACTCCCTCTGCCTAAAACACTTTCTTACAAGAGCTGTAATGAGGTAGTACATGACGAGTTGCTAACCAAGTGTATGGATAGGAAGGAGCAATCACTGGAGGCGGACGTAGCCTTAACAAAACACAAAAGGAAAGACAAGCCAATGCAGAAGGATATGTGGAGAGGACTGGGAAGCCAGGTGAAGGTGAGCAGAACTCACAGTAAAGAGAAAGGGAGTAAGCACAGACAGAGACGAAGATATATTCAGGGTCTGGTGTGGAGGGCTATTCAGCTGGAACGGAATCTGATAATTAGAAGAGTGGGACTTTGGTTACTATATTAGTTTCCTGTTCCTGCTGTAACAAATTACCACAGACTTAGTGGCTTAAAAACAACACATATTTATTATTGCCCAGTTCTGGAGGTCAAAAGTCCGAAATGGGTCCCACAGAGCTAAAACCAGGGTGTGTCAGCAGGCTATGTTCCTTTTGGAAGTTCCGGGGGGAAAATCTATTCTTGCCTTTTCCAGGATCTTTACATGATCTACCACTTGAGCAAGTCCCCTTATTATGCCCTAGTTTCCTCACTGCATTTGGATTTAATAACAATACTTGCTCCGAAGGGTGGTTATGAGGAACAAACACAATAATATGTGTAAAGACCTGAGCTTCATGTCTGGCACAGAAAGCATTTAAGAAATGCTCATTTTAAAAGCAAAAGAAAAGAGATAAGAAAGTGTAGAGTTTTTAAAAGGTAAGTAGGCAAACATTGTAGGAATTCATGATTAGTTTTATCTACCTCTTTTGAAAAATCACCCAACTTCCATTTCATCCTTGCAAAATCAAAATATAAGGCAGGAACTAAATAAAGCAGGAAAGAGGACGGTGTGTGTGTGTGTGTGTGTGTGTGTGTGTGTGTGTGTGTGTACACCTATGCACAAGCATATGTTCGAAGGAAAGAAGACCATTCAGAGGAAATGTTTTTCTTATGTTTCTTACTAAAATGTATATATGTAGAAAGGGAAGATGAAGACAAGGGAATAAACTGCATAAGCAAAGGATTATGTATGTGGAAGGATATATGAGAAAGATAAATAAGAAAAAGATTTGTAACAGGAAATCATGTCACTTTGGCTTAAGAGCAGGTGAAAGAAGCATTTCTGCAGTTGCAGGTGGGTATAGATTTATCAACTAAGTTGTCATATCTCAGTTTGCCCAAGTACAGGCTGGATGACTACTTGACAGGGATGTGACACTCAAGAATTTGCTGGAGGATGGACTTAGGGGCCTTTTTCTTTTTTTGCATTTGGATAAAAGATTTATTATTTTCTTCTCTGGGAAAAAACGGGAAGTTAGGGAAACACACTATTTAACAGCCCATATTAACTGGTAATTGGTCCTAACCCCTCCTGGCACAGCTGTTGACAGCATTAGCTGTTTAACCAGAACCAAGCTGTTCATCCCCCACAGAAAGTACGTGGACAGCGTGAGGACTGCAGGTTTTTCCCCGAGAGAAGCTAAGAGAGAAGCGGCCTTTAAGATCCTTTCCAGTGATTAGACATAACCTCCAAGTATACTTTGTAGTTCAATTTCATCTCTTTCTATCCAAGCGACTCAAGCCACCTATGAAACCCACAGTACCTCCACAGTTCATGATTTTTCTGACAGCGGTTGTGGTCAAAATTTGTCTGCTTCTTAAATAATCAGCCAGTTGTCCTCCAATAGGTACAACGATGGTCATGACCATGTGTGGGAGTGCTGACAAGAGACCCACCTGGATGGAAAGAAACAATGAGCTATTTTTAGCTACTTCTGAGAGCTGTATTTCCCTAATTCCCTGCTCCCACCACCTGCAATGCCCACCACCAACCACGCCACTAAATTTTATCATCTAACTGTAAGGGAACCAGGTAGGACTGAGTTTTGTAATAAATAAACAATGAATGAATGAATGATTTTAAGGAGAGACATAACTGTCTCCCTCACCAGAGTGGAAGCTTTTTTTTTTTTTAGTCATTTATATAGTTCATAAAACAATCCCCCTAATTGCTCTTTTTCTCCTCTGGCTCCACCTAGCTATTACATTACTGCTGACTGCATTCCCTATGCTGTGCTCCCCAAACCCATGACCATCAATCAACTACTAATTTGTACTTCTTTAACCCTTCACCTCATTCTCCCAGCCCCTCGACACCCCTCCCCTCTGTCCGTCACCAGATTGTCCTCTATATTTGTGAGTCTGTTTTTTATTAGTTTGTTCTTTTTGTTCCTTAGATTCCACATATAAGTAAAATCATAGGGTATTTATCTTTCTCTGTCTGACTTATTACACTCAGCATAATAGCCTCTAGCTCCATCCATGTTATTGCAAATGGTAGGATTTCATTTCTTTAATGGCTGAGTAAAATTCTATTGTATATATGAACTATAACTTCTTTATCCAATCATCTGTTGATGGGAGATTGGAAGCTTAAGGGCAGAGATGACTTTTAGTTATCTTAAGGCCTGGCTCATGGAAGTTAAACACTTGGCACAAAGTGAATGCTCATTGATGGCAGCCACCATTACTTGACCCCGTTAGCTCTTGCATGGTCACTTCAGACAGTGCCTGGAGCTATGCAGACATCAACCTCTACTAGGCTTCTGCTCTCCCCCTTGGAGAAAAGAGGCTTAATTCTTTTATGATAATGGCTTACATTTCACCATCCACACCCTTTTCCCCTGAAATACAGGCAACCTAATGACAATGGCTGGAGACATTGATAGAGGCTCTTATACAAGGCAATGGTCATTAGTGTTATAATGACCATTATGGAGAGAGGGGTGATCTGCAAAATAAGCTTTAGAGTTCTTATTACTATTCACGGAGTAATTTATAGTGGGGGTGGGGAAGAAAACCTCTCACTGTTAAATCTTTTTATCTTTGTCTAATATGCCATCCTCGAGTTAGCTTCAAAAACACTTTGAGTTCGGGTAGAACATAAATCTTTAAAAGCAACTTAATGCAGCTCTGATCCTTACTAAGAAGAAATTAAATAACTATGTATACTATACACAGAATGTATGATTTGTCTGACATCCAGAGTATTAGGTGTCATAAAATGTTATGAATTAAGATCCGCAATTTAATTATTTTATCATAAAGAATTTTCTCAGTAGAAGTAAGAGATTTAAAGTTTGAGAACATTTGAAGCATCTATGTGTTTACCTTACTTATTGCAAATCCAAAGACCTCTTCAAAATAAGCAGGCTGACTTATTAACAGCAAATAAAAGGTCCAGCTTCTGCAAAAATTTGCCACAATGATTGCATAAACCGGCAGTGATGTGAAAAATCTTTTCCACGGTGTATTAAATTTCTAGAGAGTAAAAATACCGTGAGATTTTTAGTGAATATATTGACAAGTTATTTGTAGTGAATATATTGACAAGTTATGAGTATTTCTCTTAGTGATTGTGCTGTCCTCATAAAAAAGAGGCAAATCTTCATCTATCCATTGATACTTACACTTAGACTAACTGAGTTAGCTCCTTCTCCTATACTTGTCTCTATATAGGTCCTCTCCTCAAGGGATATTGTTGGGTGAGCTGCCGGGCACTCATAGGCCTGCAACAGCCAAAACATGTACCAAATGATGCCGAACATACCTGCAGTTAAAAAAGAAGAGGCCAAATATGTGGTGACAGAAAGAAATCTAACTATGGGAGGTAAACACAATGTAAATATATATATATAACTTACTATTAAAATGTACAGCTGAAACTTATTAGATTTCATTAACCAATGTCACCATAAATTTTTTAATTAATTAAAAAATAAAGAAATAATTAAAAATTTTTTTAAAAAAAGTCTTGATGATATGGTCTCATTTCCTTTTATCTCTAAAGTTTTCATTTTTCAAAATATTCCCAAACAGTACTATGTTCAGCTAGGAGAAAATATTTCATAGTTATTAACTGGTATTTAAAGAAAGATAATGTTCTGCTTATTAAGAAACTCGACTTTAATATAAATGTTAACTGAATCATAGGTAGACAAGTATTCCACTTATATGATAAACTTGTGTTAATAATTTCTATTTTAGTAAGTGCTTAGCCATGTCCATGAGTCACGCCTGGGAACTCATGTAGTCAAATCACTCACCATAAATATAAAAGACGGAGGCCCATCCGATGTACTGCACCAACACCCCCGCCAGGGGCATAGCGATCACTGCCCCCGCGTAGGAACCTAGAACAAGAAAAGATGGAGGGAAGTTTAGCAACAGTCAGGCAAGCCCTCCCAGCCCATTTAGAATGCATGTGGTACAGCTGAGGATGAATCAGACCCAGCAGAAGTCAGAATGTCCCCGTGCAGGACAGGCAGACTCCCAGTGGGCCTTAGTGCAGGGTTTCCAGGAGGGAAAAGTTACCAGGATGCCCTTGAACTTCATCCAGGTACTATGGAGGGATTCAACAGAGATTTCTCAGGCACAACAATTTGAAGTTAATGACAAATTAGAATAAAAGCTGAGAAAAATCTGGGAGAAATTTGAAACAGTCACAGTATTGAGTGCTGAAGACAGCAAGCAAAGAAACGTATGGCTCTGCTTTTCAGAGCTCGCAGTTCTGAAGGATTATCACCTAGGTCTTTAAATGAAAGACTATTAAAGGATCATGCTTGATTTTTTTTTTTTTTAAATCAGGAAACGGTTAAATGACATTTAAACAATTAAATGGCAGGATGACCAGGATGGCTGTTGTCTCTATCTACCTCCTAAATAGGTACATTTTTAAGTTCATTTTTTATTTTGTAAATAGTTAACCTGGTAAATACTTACCTATGTGTGGATGTTTATCTAGTCGAGACAAGATAATGAGGACAGAGGCAGTGACCTGGCCTCCTCTGTCTCCTGCAGCTCTGTAATATCTGCTGGAGAAACACAAGCCCTGCAAACGCCTAAGAAACTTGAACTGAATCAAAAAAATAACTAACTGAAATTCCCTCTGGGCTGTGAATAAAAAAATTCTCGCTTCAGAGAAAGTGAGCAGCCAAAGGAACTACTGTATCCCAGAATCCAATGTTAAGGAAGGCCTCTGGGAAGCGGGAGTTTGGGGATCTTCCAGAAAGGGAGATTAAACCCCACCTTTCCAAGCTCGGCCTGACTGGCTATGAAAGGCCCGACCGGGAATACGAAATCCAAACATCGTGACACCTGAGGAAGTTTCTCGATCTCTCCAAACCATTTTCCTCAGCTAGAAGATGGTGATGAAATCTCTATCTCACGGGGCTGTTTTAAGGATCAAATAAATGTCATCTGTGCTGCATAAATGCCAACTATTACTGCTACCGTCTTATGCAGAATAACAGCACACAATTTTTTTTTTTTTTTAACCTCAGATTTTCTCAAACTAATAAGGCAAGAATTCCAGGGCACATCATTTAGAAAGAGCTGCACCCAACTCCACTGTGGGTGTGGAGAAGGTGGTCTTCTTCCCCAGGCCAAAGACCCCAGGAGTGGGGGGGTGGAAGGCTCACGTTTAGGTGATGCAAAGGACTGCCCAGGACAGGGAACGTCAGGGGATAACCCACCACAACTAGGGTGTATTGGGGGCTTCCTGTGACCCCAGCACTGCGCCAAGCATTCTGGACCCATGATTTTATTTAACCCTACTTTCAACCTGATGATGTCGGTACCAATATCATTCTCATTTTACGAAGAAACCAAGGCTGAGGGAGAGGAGGTAAATTGCCTGAGGTCACACAGCTATGAGTGACAGGAACCCAGGTCTGTAGGAATCCAAAGGCTTTACCCTTACCTTTTAATAATTCAGGCCTGTCTCCTCCACTCAGAAACGCCCTATAGTTCCTCACAGTAAGAGGCATTCTTGTCCTGAGGAAATTTTATGACTTGAAACTGTCTTTCTTCCCTATTCAACAAACTCTTTATTATCCTCCACACACAGCTGAATATAATCTCCTATCACACACCCGCATCTCCTTAGCATTTGCCTATAGGCACTTCATGACCAAATGGCCCCGGGACTGACAGTGCCTCCATCCCTCTGTGTGCTCACCACAGAGGAGAGAGGGGGCCCTCGATGCTTGTCGAATGGCGTGGAAACTGGGGCATAGGCGAATTGGGGGTGGGAGGGTTCATAGTTCTGTCCTCACTAGCTGTGAGAATTTATATATCTTTTTCCTTCCTCAGCCTCCATTTCCTACGTAAAACGATGATTATAGCTAGATGGTTTCCAAAGTTCCTTTCAACTCCATTATTTTTGAAGTATAAGAACTGGTTAGCCCCAAGCCTGGGTTTCCTTCTTATGAGTTTCCCTTGGCTGTTCTTTGAAACCGAGGCCACATCTTAGCTGGGAAATGTAATAAAGCCTGTGACTTTGATCGGGTAACTTCCCCTGAGAGTCAAACCATTTCTTAAATCAGCCCTTTGAGGGCTCTCAAGACACTAAGGATGGGGAGTGGCACTAGTCATTCTTGTTTTGCTGGCAAATTAAAATGAAAGGCCTTATAAATAAACCATCCAAGGAAAATAAGGTCAAGGATCTGACAATTCACAAGATCAGCTGGGGCAGAATATCATATTCTTCTAGAGTTGGTATAAGGTCAGTAGTGGGGGTGGAGATGATCTTGAACTGCAAACACGAGGACAGGAATGGTTTCTGAGGACGAGAGAGGCTAAAGATGTGAAGACCTCTCAGCTGTGTATACAGTTCCGAACTAAGTACAAAATAGGCACATTGGTGACTATTACACACCAAATTCCCATGGATGATATTATTATTATTATTATTATTATTATTATTAATTATTAAAGGAGGTAGAGAGACTGAGGGAGAAATAAATAAAAGTATTCACAGAAATAAAGAGGCAGCTTTATTTCTTCCTTTAGCTAGGAATACAGGTTAGCTTCTCTTAGGAAAGGCATGCACTAGCTCGAAAAACTAGACAGATCTAAATTCTGATCCTAATTCTGCTCAGGCCCCATTGTGACTTTTGCAGCCTAAAGCACTTTGTCTTCCTGGGTCCCTTCCCTCATAAAAAAAAAAAAAAAAAAGTTACAACCGTACTGATGGTGACAGCATGTGCTGTCCTCGTTCAGTTTGTGATTGACACCTAGGTAAACCCTTCAGAACACTGATTACTCCTAAAGATATGTAGGGATCAGTGCCAAAGGCATAGCTTTGAGTAAGGCAACCTTAGCAAGGTAAAGTTGGGAGACCCAGGAATTAAAGTTACATCAGTATCTGAAGGGCCACTAATTTACTTTTAAGTAAACTGGATGATCTCCCCTTCATTTTTACCTGGAATACAATGGTGAAAATTAATTCAAAGGTCTCGATGACAATATTTACATAGTAGTGTGTGGTAAGGAAAGGTCTGAATCTAGCATCAGGTGATCTGGCTCCAGCTCTGTAACTTAGTAGCTGTGTGACCTTGGGCAAGTTTTTGGACTTTCGTTTCAGTTCAGTGAAACTAAGCTTTAAACTTTAGTTTCAATTTCTCCATCTGTAGAAAGAAGAGGAGTAGGGGGCTTGAGTCTCTCTCTTCCATTTTTGACTTTGGCAAATATCATTTGCAGGCTAATCCAACAACCCCTTTCAAGCCCTTCTTTCTTACCTTTCTCTCCTAACAGGGCTTTGCTAGACTCTTGCTTTCCTAGCGTCCTCTGCAGTTAGTAAAGCATATGACACAATTAGGGCTAATGAAATATAAGTGGACTTCTGCTAGGGCATTTTGGGAAAGTTTTTGCTTTCCTGATGAAAGGAACAGAAATGGCTAGGACACCCATTCCCAAGTCTTCCTGCCTTGGATGTGGACTTGATGCCTGGAGCTGTGACAGCCATCTTGGGAACAAACACGAGAGTAAAAGACAATCACTCTGAGACAGTGGAGTAGAAAGTCGGAACATGTTGAGGCCCTGGATGGATCATTGAGCAGCAGAACCAGTACCGGCAACCACTCACCTGTGGACTTCCGTTATGTAAAAAAAATAAATGCTATGGTCTTTGGAAACCAAAAGCATTCCTAAATAAAACTTGTTATGATTATAATACGCTTACCACAAAAAGAGGTTGTGGCCAGTCGGCTTCTCTCTAAAGGTGGTGCCCACTTACTCCACATCCCATGGCAGGCTGGGTAGGTCACACCCTGGCAAATGGTCGAAAATGGGTTATTTAATTTGACTCCAGTTTCTTTTTGTGTTAAAAAACACGTGGATCCTGATTCTTTAACACAGGCTACAATATAAAAGCCCAATTCAGATACTAAGTAGCACGTGTCAGCTATTTTGACTGACAGCACAGATACTGAAACTTAAAGACCAGTTCAAATGTGAGCATAGTAGGGAATGGGAAAGGGGGTTTATATTTCACATTATTACAGAATATCACTGAAGAAAGGGACTTCTGCAATCAGTGGGTCTATCCTCTCATTTAAGGTACAGAATCTGAGGTTCAGAGACATTAAGTAGCTAGACTCTAGTCTTCACAGCTGCTAATATCATGTTCTTTCTACCACATCAGTATTTTCCAAAATGTGGTATATGTCCCTCTAGAGTTGGACTTGAGATGCTACAACAACCTACAGTTTTTATTATAATCATGACATATATATACTAATATGCTTTAGAAAAAAATGTAACTAGCACATGAAACCCATGATTTCAAAGATGTTTTTGCTTATGATGAAGTTCTTTGGGTTTTTCTGGTTTTTGGTGTTTTAAGTGAATTAATCTAGGGAAAAATTGTCATTAAACAATCGTACAAATTGTACACGGACATGACAGAGTGACAAAGTTTAGTGGTGAACGACTGTGTTTGGGAAACATTTCTCTACATCAGGGTTTGGGAAACTATGGCCTGATTTGGCTCACTATTGGTTTTTGTACAGCCCCCAAGCAAAGAATAGTTTTCACATTTTTAAGTGGTAAGCAAAAAAATTGAAAAAAAAAATTCTATAGCATGTAAAAATCACATGAAATTAAAATTTCAGTATCCAAAATGTTTTATTGGCACATAGCCATGCCTATTTGTTTACATATTGTCTCTGGCTGCTTTTGCACTGCAATAGCAGAGTTGACCAGTTGCCTATGGCCAGCAAAATCCAAAATATTCACCCTTTGTCTCTATATCATGCTACCTCCTTCATCGAATTAAATCTCTGTATAAGAGTGCACTCTTGAAAATTTACAGATTTATTAAATCCCTTTAAGTTGTTTCAATGGAAAAAGCTCTTGCTATGTGAACTGTAGATTTTGGGCTTTAGTTTCATCATTTATTAAATGAAAGGGGTTGGATTAAAGTATCTCCAAGGTCATTTCCAGCTCATGTGAAATTCTGTGCTGTATGAAGTGGTCCTCCACTGTGTTTAAATTTAGAAACACACAAGGTTTTTAAATTAAAGTACTCATAATAGTAGCCATAACCATATAGCTGAGATAGCAAGACAAGGTAGAAGACAGGAAAACTGAGTCAAAGGGGTTTTCTTAAGAAGCTGAATTTTCTAAAGGACCACGATGTCTCCAGCGATATCAAAAACTGGTAAGGAAAGAATCTCCTACCTCCACTAGACCTTGCAAAATTCTGACACACATGACACAGCTGTAATGCACTCTGGCTGCAGAAGGAATGAACATGTTCAAGGTCGATGTTAAGAAGATGGCAGCTCCAAAAACCCTGAGAGACCAAAACACTGTGTTATTAGGCAGGCCTGCTCACAGATGTGGCACTTCAGTTAAAAATCAGAAATGGCCCTGACAGTTCATGGAAGATCACTATGCAAGTTAATAGAAAGAGAAATAGATGTTGTGTTAGAGTCCAGTGGGTCCCAAGCTAGAGTGTTAGGCTGCTTTGATTCTCAAGCTCCAGCACCTGGACCAAATTACGGGCAGGTTTTTGGCAGTACAGGTGTGTCTGCTTGGATGAGGTCCTAAAGCTGGAGCATGAGGTGAGCTTGCCATCGACCCACCATTCTGCTTGGTTCTACCTAATTGATCCATTCATTCTGACTATTACCTCGTGACTTGTACACATTTGGGTTGCATCTCCTGCTTCACGGTTCTGCTGTCACTTTACCAGAAGGGGTTACTGGTAAAGTGAGAAGCATGCTATGTCCTGGACCAGCCAAGCACAAGACAGGCTGTGTACCTGTGTCAGCCCCCAACTCTCTGTCCAGTGCCACTTGCCTTCTCCTCCCTGCCTGGACAGAAGTGTCCTAGGAAAAGAGAATGGCCAGTATTTTCTTCCTTTCTCACATGTGTTAATGATGCTTTGGCCCATTTTACATGCCGTGAAGTCATATTATGCATGATTTCTTTTTAGGGCAGAAGTGTAAGCAATAACCCCAGATACCATAGAAGTCAATATTTTATCACTTGTTAAAAAGAATTCAATGGGTAAGTGACAATAAATAAAGAACACAAATTAAACAAGAACGTAAGTAAATACTGTCTTGCTTATACATATTTATATCTTATGGTAGTGATTTTCAAACTTTTTTGAACTTGACCCAAAAAATAAAATATATTTTATACTGAAACCCAATACATACTCATACACACAAAAATAATCAAAACAAGTTTCAAAGACCAATACTTAAATGTGCAATGGACTGAGACATTTTCTATTCTATTTTATTCTGTTTGATCATCTTCTATTTCTCTCTCTTTTTTTAGAAAGTGTTCATTGGTAAATCATTATATTGATTTCATTACCATCTCATGAGTTGTGTTTTAGAGCTTGTGTTTTAGAGCTTGAAAAAACCTGCCTTATAAATGCACACTTCACAAAGTCCATATATGTAAAGTCCCACAGGACACACAATTGGAAGGGACCTGGAGATACCTTCGTTCTAGCACACTCCTTTTCTAGTGCATATATACCATACATCTCCTCCAAGGGGCCATCGTCTTCTGCTTGAATACCTCTAGTGACAGAGAACTCATTGCTTCTTGAGGCAGCTCATTCTGTCTTGACCACTTTTAATTGCCCAAACATCATATAGAATATCAAGGGCATTAAAGATACCTTGTAATCTAGAGGCAAGTCCCTACTACTCACATGACAAAACCTGCAATGTACTGGATGATATTAACATAGTACAGAGGATCACAGAATGTCACTGGTCAAAGGGAGCTCAAACACAATTTAATCCACGCTTCATTTCACAGATGAGGAAACTGAGGTTTAGAGAAGGAAGAAAAGTGACTCAATAAATATCGCCAAGTAAGTTACTTAGGGTCTAGAAGCTGCTTCTCCTGACTCTCAGTTAATTGCTTTTTATAGTACATAAACATTGAAAGAATTGCGAGATAAATTAGATTAAAGAAAAAGGTAAATAAAGAGAGACTCTTAAGAATAGGATCGTATAGGATCATATGGAATCTGTGAATCACATCTATTGGAATGGCTCTTATCTTTCATTCTGTACCCCCAAATTGAGAGCCAGCTATACAGACTTGGTAAAAGTACAAAGCCATGTTATAATTTGTGCAGTACTCATGTTCTATCAGTTTATCTTACCTGTTAGCAGCAAATTTGTTTGAAATGAAACCACCTGGAATTTGTGTCACAATATAACCCCAGAAAAAAGATCCGTGGATAAGGCCCACCGTCTCTGGATCCCAGTTAAATTGTGCTGTCTGAAAATGAGAAGTTGGATACAGTTGTGTTTGTAAAATAAATACTTGACCGCCATTTTTCACTGATGATCCTACATAATAACCCACAAGTTCCTTCTTTCCTTCCCTTATGCAACAAATATTTATGGAGTGCCTCTTATGTGCTTGGGATATAGCAATGAATACAACGAAGTGCCTACTCTCATGGAGCTCACTTTCTAGTGAAAAAAAGGAGAGATTATGCACAAATTTAAATATATATATACATATACAAACATCCCCCTAATAATGATGAGTGCTAAGAAGAAAATTAAAAAAAAAACTTGTGAAGAAAACAAAAAATTAGTTCTAGGTTTCCTAGATTATTTACTAGGTTATTCAGATAACTAGTTTACTGAAAGCACATAAAGAATGAGAGTCTTAAAAGTCTCTCGTTTAACAAGGATAATGAAACTTATTCTACCTACCTATAGGCTGTATGGGGATAAACAGCATGAATATTTCTAGTAGGTTAGAGATTTTGCATTTAACACATTAAGATAGTGCTTGGAACATAGTGTAGACTCAAAAATGTTAGCAGCCATTGTTGTTATGATGATGACGATGGCAATAAAATAGCCTTCCACAACTCTTAAGTCACTGAAAATGTGATTGTCTAGGACTGGAGCCCCTCTCCTCACTTTCTTCTCCAGGCAAAGTAATTCACTCTATTTCAGACTCTCTGCAAATGTCCCTTCCTCTGAGGAAGTCCCCCCACTCCCCGGAATTGATGTGGTCACTTCCTCCTGTGCTTGTTCCACGGACCCCTGTTCTTACAGCCATGACACCCACACCGTGCTGTTCTCAAACTAGTCATCCACCTGTCCACTTCCCATACTGGGTGGCAAGCAACGCTAAGGGAGCATCCGTGTACTTTTGACTTTATAGCCTCTGTACCTAAAACAAAGACCTGGAACAAGAAGGTATAAGTAAATATTTGCCAAATAAATAAATGGCTTTGGAAAGCATTGATATCAAAATGCAAGGTGCTCCTATTTTGGAGTAAGGGTTCGTAATTAGCTACATACTCTGTCTTATAAACTTTCATCACCGTTTATTTTCCTCTCACTAATTAGTATGTATTTATTTGCTCATTTATTCAACATTCACCTAGTGCCTCCTGTGTGCCGGTCAGGTGTCAGACAGTGTAAATACAAGTTCAAAAGCAAATTGCCTTTGCCTTCTCAATCATCACAGTCCAGGTAACATTGGCCTGTACTCTGGGCTGTATTTCCCATTTTGCAGATTAGGAAGTTGAAGCTCAAGAATAAAATGGAACTAACAATCATTAATTTGAATCAGCTCATCGAATTTTTATTTCATGCTACCACGTGCCACACATTGTTCCAGGCACTAGGGATGCAGCAGTGAATGTCAATAGCAATTGCTGTCTTCGCGAAGATGCCAGCAGGGATGGCAGATAATAAACAAGTACAGACTGTGTTAGATGGTGACCAGTGATGAAGAGGAAAAATAAAGCAGGAAAGGGTATAGGAAGCGTTGGGTAGGAGTGTGGTAGGGTATGATTTTAGGTAGAGTGGCCAGGAAAGGCTTCACTGAGGAGATGATTTTTAAGTAAAGCACTTAAAGGAAGGAAGGGAACAAGTTGTGTATTCATTGTTTAAGAGGAGAGCTTTTCGGACAGAGAAATAGCAAGTACAAAGGCCCTGCGGTAGGAATGTATCTTGTGTATTAGAGGAACAGCAGGACATCAGTATAGTTGGAGAATACTGCGTGAGGGAGAGGAGAGTAGGAGTTAAAGTCAGAGGTTCAAATGATGAAGGGCCCTTTAAGTCATTATGAGAACCTTAGCTTTTGCTGAAAGAGAGATGGAAACCACTGGAAGCTTTGAGCAGAAAACGGACATGATTTTGTTACGACACCTTCCACATATTTCCTCCTTTAATCCTTAGAACATCAAGAGGTAATTATTATTAACTCTTTTATTGTAGATGAGGAAACTGAGGCTTAGAGAGATAAATTAACTTGCCCAAGTCATACTAGTTATAAGTAACTAGTTACAACTAGTTACAATGAGAGCTGAGATCAAGACCTCTTACCTGCCTGACCCAAAACACTACATTCTTTCCATTGTTTGTAAAGACTTGGCTTTCTTACTAAAAAGTAGAGACTAGACTTCTTTGCCTTGAGTCACAGTATGATCCAAAGAACCAAGGATCAAAAGCAGAGGAACCCACTTCATCCAGTAGCTGATCGTCCATCACAGTGTCCCTTGCTCATGCCTTTCTCTCAGAAGGGATGGTGCTTCTGTTCATTCTCTGAAGGAAAAGGTATATGAAGAAGAGCACTTGGTCCTGCTGAGAACTGACTTTCATCATCACTTGAGCCCCATTAGAATCATAATGGCCCCATGTACAAATCATCCCTGTAAGCCAAGCACTGCGTCAGATACTGTGTTAGGTTAAAAAATGACGCCCAAAAGTTATGCACACAAAATCTCTGCAATCTGTAAATGCTGCCCTATTTGGGAAAAGGGTTTTGCTGATATGATGAAGTCAGGGATCTTGAGATGAGTTATCCTGAATTATCCAGCTGTGCCCTAAAATCTTATGACAAGTGTCCTCACAAAAATAAAAGGCAGAAGGAGGTTTGAGACAGAGGAGAAGGCCACGTGAAGACCAAGGAGATTGAGATTAGAGTTATGTGGCCACAGCCAAGTAATGCCTAGAGCCACCAGAAACTAGAAGAGGCAAGGAAGGATTCTCCCCCTAGAGCCTCCAGAGGGAGTGTGGACCTGCTCACACCTTGATTTTGGACTTTTGGGCTCCACAATTGTAAGAGGATACATTTCGGTTGTTTTAAGCCACGTTTGTGATCATTTGTCATGGCAGCCTTAGGAAATTAACAGAGGTACTAAATATATTAGTACCAAATCTGATCTGCAAAGCAGCCCTTTTATTCCCATTTCACAATAAGGGCAATGAGGGTTAGCAAAGAATTTCTGGAAATGCTGATTCCTGCCTCCCTGCTCACATTTCCTTCTAAGAGGATTCCTCCCTCCCCTCAGCAACAAGGGTCTCTCTCCTGCTGACTGAACATTTCAATAGAGAGAGCCAAGGCTGGTGTCTCTGTCTGTCTGTCTGTCTCTCTCTCTCTCTCATCTGTCTGTCTCTCCGTCTCATGTGAACCCAGAGATTCTAGTTAATACTGAACACTTGAATTGACACAAGTCACATTGGAGTCGGGGCCAGGGAAGTCAGCTCTCTGGCAAAGCGAAGGCTCAAGGATCTTCAGCATTGGAGGGCAGTGAGAAACCATGGAAAAAGAAAGACAGCAGTCCATGGGGAGCTCAGGAGAATGAAGCCCACTCAGATGGAAGCAGAGGAGAAGCCACGAGGAGCAAGCAAGCTGGAGAGCTGAGCTAAACATTTCCCAGTTCCTGCAGGGTCAGGCTCCACTCTGCCCTTCCTGCCGGGGCCTCTGTTCATGCCTTGGAAACAATTAGGTAAAGATTCCTTTTTTTCCTCTCTGCAGTGGAGGACAGCACAGCATAGATGCCCATCTCAGGCTGTCCCCCCACCACCTGTCCAGGGCACAGACTGCACAAACTCACACAGCAGATCTGCTTCCTCACTTTCATGAGGTCAGGTCC